ACAAACGCTGCTGGGTTACTGGATCTTATTTGCAAGAGCATTCCAGCTCGACTATCGGGCCCTGTTCAACACAGCAATCAATATCTTATTACCAACTCTGGAAAGTCAACAGGGCCCAAGAAACAAATATTTTAAAAAATCAATTTGTGGAGACTCACACAGAGTGTTGCTTACATATGCTTTTAACAGCAGTGCTCCACAGCAACGCATAATGAGATATACATGTTGCCGATAGTGAATTGGCAGTGGTGCACAGGCACAAATAACAATTAAAACTCAACATTAAAACTTTTTTTATACAATCGGTGACATTTTGAGCAATGACCCTTCTTCACAGTACACAGAGAGGCCAGCGAGGGAGAGTGATTTATGAGGTCACACATATTAAGACATTGTGATGCTATTCTCCATATGTCTATGCCATCAAGACGCGGTTGGACAAGGGCTGCAATAAATTAGATATAACTGGTTGCGAGTGACTGATGTTCATTGTGATGATTTTCTCGAAGGGCTAGAGAGCTGACATTTGGTATGAATGTAGTGGAGTCTATGCTCCGAGCGAGAAACACCCTCTGCCTCGTGACCGACTGCCTCGAAAAAGAAAGCCCATTGTTTCTGTGCAGCGCTTTGAGACTCGGACGCATATAGGTGTCATACAACATTGCATTGCACATGTAAACCGACCTAGCATGCATAATAAAACAATAAATGAAGCATACGAACAATCATACATCAGGATGTGTGTAGAACTTTGCTTTCACACCGTACGTAGCCAACCGTGCTAGTCGGAGGTGCTTGAACTGGTCTCAAGAGTAAACGGAATTGTTTTACATTACTACGAACGGACAGCGCCGTGGTTTACAATTACAACGCGTTCGTCCGCCATGTGTTCCAAACTCAGCTAAAATCTGCAGGAAATGTTTTACAAAAAATAAAAAAATAATCACGCGACAATTAAACGACACAGACGCGCGGGGCTCATGTGCGGACGACGTAGGCGTGTCAAAACCTGCCTCAATTAGCGCAGATGGACAGCTACAAACTCGGACGTATTAGGCAGCACTAAATGCTTATGCTAGCCTCAGGGCATGGCCACATGACACAGATTTGCAGACATTTTTGTTCCGAGTGACAAAAGGTCATTCGCGGTGCAGATAGAGTACACCATCCGTGCGATTAATTCCACGGGCACTGGTCAAATTGGAGGTGTTTTTCATTGGAATATCCTTCCCGAAGGCCACGTGCATGTGACCACAATTAAATGTTGGACACTCGGCTCACTGTGCGTAAAGGTGGCCTTTGCGCATAGCCGAGTGAGAGGCCTGGCGGGTCGCATGGGCGGAGTGCGAGGGCTATTTTTAGCGAGTCACGCTGTACAATTAAATGTTGGACACTCAGCCCCACTATGCGTGAAGGTGGCCTTTGCGCATCGCTAGTGATAGACCTGGCGAGCCGCGTGGGCGGAGTGCGAGGGATATTTTTTGCCAGCCCCGATGTACAATTAAATGTCTACCCCGAGCTATGGGTCATTCTTTTCTTAAACAGTGGCCAGCAACCCCCATAGGGAAGGGAGTCTTTGTGCCGATGGAATAATCTGTAGGTGGCAATGGAACAAGGGGTTAATCACTTTCACATTGCTCAATTATTCGTGTCACGAGGCAAGATCGCACTTCAGCAGGAAAAAAACAACAAGCGGATATCATACGCACAAGCTAAACTGCTGTGCAACATCTAGGAACGTTGACGTTGTGTTTTAAAGAAACCCGTAAGTCAATGGTGTTCATCCCATGCAGAGACTGTCATGGGAATGAGGAATATCCGCCACTGGCTCAAAGCCACCAAAGGAGATGAGCGCTGCTCCACTGCCAGTTTGACTTGCACAAATAAAGCAACAAGAGTAGACCGCAATCAGAAGCGAGAATTCATAATGGTAATAAACTGCTTGGCAAGTTTTACACCAAACACTCAATTTAGCCACTTGGCCAATGGATGAACTCAACGCACACTAAAATCCATCTTCTTGGTGCCACATTAAAACTGTGGCAGAATGCCAGGCATGAGCAGCAAGCGAGTTGCATCTGCCGAGCGGGCTGATTAATGAAGACCGCTGATACACAACCTAAAACAGGGCTTTGCCAGAACCACTCATTAGCACGCCACACAGAACACAAAGAACCTCTCTTTAATGAATCAGGGAAAGAAATCAGCGAGTCTAAAAATGTATGGATAATGCTTGCTAATTGTATTTCCCAGTGGCTTATATTTCCCAGTAGCAATTGAAATCCTGTCGAAAGTCAATGTTGATAATGTATTTAAATCTGAGCGAGAATCACTCTGTAGCTCGGCACAAGAATAAACGAACTAAGAAAAGATAGACATAACAAATTGTTCACTCTTGACTTAAAGTTTTCTTGACTGCAGGAATTCATATTCTTTGGGTCTTTCGGTAAAGCCACGTACCGAAAAAAATGTGTTCACTGTTCATCATTGAGCAAACACCGAGCGATAATGCAATCAATACATGCATGCATCTTTACACCTGAATTAATAGCCTTCATGAACCCCCGAGGCTACTTGACTATGACCTCCATGGCTGCTTGACCCCAACTTTAACAGGATCAGTGTCTTGCTATTTCGTACGGCATCTTGAGATGCAGTTGCACTTCAATGACATTTAAATACAAATCGTATTGTATTTTGGGGAGGCGGTGGCGGGTAATGTGCGTGGTATTTCTCATTTGGATGAGCACAACATGGCACAGTCGTTCTATTCCTGGCCACTATTAACATTGGCAGCAATTGCTATGAAAGCCCATGCTGGGCCTCATGTAGGTTAACTCAGTCTCAAATGTGCAGCTGCTGCAGTTTATAAACACGTGGATTTTTTTGTGGATTGTTTTCGAATTATCTGGTTTCCTACCAGATGTCAAACACACCTTAAAATTGCACTGGGCAAACATACTAATGCAGGTCCCTAACCCTAACACTATATCTCAAGAATCAATGAGGATTTCCTAAAATAAATTAGATTCCAGTATAAATGACTGCATCACAATACACACAGCGTTCTGTCAGAACATAAGCCGAGATTGCTCTCGCATGCATCGCGTACACCCACAAATCCAGCATGGCATCAGCAGTCAGGCCACATTAATCCACCCATCGCATTAAAATATGGCAGCTTCAAAAGCCTCGGATAAACAGGTGCTAATACATTGTCCGGAGAGCCTTGAATAATTAGGTGCCACGTGGTATTAGCGAGCACATATTAAGGCTTGAGTGGTGCATGAGCGGTGGCGTGGCGAGGACCATGCCAGGCTGATTTTGTCTTTCCAGTGCTGATGTGCCAGGCCCTCATTTAAGGTTGAGTTGAGGAGGCCGAGGATCAATTCAGAATTCACCTGACGCTGATACGAGCTATGGCCGTGAATCACATCAAACTGCTGGGTTTGTAAAACTACGCCGACCACTGCGCCACCGCTCCCCCTATCGCACACAGACACACGCATGCACGCACGTGCGCACAAGCACATTTACGCGCTGTAGCCGACTGAAATATTTTCAAACGAGAACAAGACACTGAAGCACATGCATTATCTTTTAAAGCTCTTTGCTGGCAGTATTCCAGAGGTTGCTTTAATATTGACAGCACTGTGAAGTGAACAACTAAATTTCCATACCATTTACTATATTGCTATGAAAATCACAAAACAGTACTTGGCAAATGTGAACTGCATTTGAAATGTGTTTTTTTTGTAACACAGTACATTATACAGGCGGTGTGTAACAATGTATATGGATCATGCAGATACACTCAAAACAAAACACTTTACAGAGAGTATATATGTACACCATCTTCAGGTCAGCTTTCAGATCTTCCATGGACTCATCCCTGCGTATAGCCGCCCTCCTCTCACTCGACTCCCCTTTGATCTCTCTCCACTCCAGCCACCAAGGTCTTTTGCCAAAACTCTCTACTGACTGACCTCTAAAATGGGGGGTCGCTCCTTATCTGCTGCTGCTCATGGGGTCTGGAATTCCGCTGCTGAATGAAGGCCTCGCACCAACGCCATGTCGTCCGTGGAGGTTATTAGACCGTGCTTCACCATGCCGATTCGTTTGAGTTAATGAATGAGCGGCGCAGAACCCATTCAGATGCCGCTCTCTAGCCCTTCGAGAAACTGCACCACCATTCCCCATCGAGTATTAGGGTAGTGCCAATATTTTGACACATATCAAAATATCCATCCTAAATGTTATAGGCTCACATAATCAATCACTTTGTCAGCCTGTAAACATCCCAAACGATAACAGCTACATTTTCTGGTGTCATTGAAAATAGTGCAAGGCTGCAGTCAGTGGTTCATGGGGCAAGAATGCCACTGCAACTGTTCACAAAGAGTCATCTCATATTAGCACGCATTGCAAGGATCAAATGAACATTTTAGAAGCCTGTTGATCCATGTGCGCCTGAGAGCATGTGCACAAAGGACCCCTCTCTCGTTTCAAACTCTTGTCACTCCATTTTCTTCCTACGCTTCCATTTACTTGATCTTTAAGCAACACCTTAGAAAGCGTTGAATGCATGATGCAGTGTAAGATGCAGCGCCAAATGTGCATCCGTATCAACCCTTGCAACGTTCCTTCAGGTGAAAAAAGACGATTGCTTGTGTTGCGATCGAAACGTCGTGATATTATTATTATTTTGATGATTTTTTCTATCTACGTGGCTTTACCGAAAGACCCAAAGAATAGGTATATTATTACTAACTACTCAGGAAAATCATTGTTTCTTTCCGTGACGTATTTTCATATATCACAATAAATCAAGCGTTATTGCAGTATCTGAAGCATCTGGTGAATAAGGTTTAAATATTGCTCCTTACCTTCACAGATGCGTTGTAATCCCTGACATCGTAATAAAGTCGCGTTAGTCAACACCACCACCATCAGCATCATTGTCGTCATCATCTTATAATCATCTCCGCCGGTCGGTTTACCTTTGCCAGGTCTTCCCTAAGCACTGCCAAGGCCTGAATGTCATCCCCACTCAAGATGTGACTGCTGGCAGATTCCTCCAGGATGGGTGTCGTCACTTCTTCCAGCGAAGGCTTGATAGCTGCTTTGCGTTTGTCCAAAACTGCGGAGAAAACACACGAACGTTTAAATTCACTGTCTTAAAGCAGATGAAAAACCATTTCCAGAAGAGCTATGCATGCACAGACACGCACAAAAACCCTCCATATAGCGAGGCGCTATTAGCGAGTGCAGCGTAGCGCTAACCGCTACACCACCGCTCCCCACACACGCACACACACTCACGGATGGACACACTCTCCTCTTGCACTGCCATGTCTTCGTCAGTCTATCGACCATCATCTCTACGAGTGATGTGCCCTGCACAAGCAACGCTGTTTTTGTCCTCTGATCCATGCGTGTCTCTCGGTGTCATACCCAGGATGCATCTCTCCATGTTCATTGTGTACATTTCTGCTTTTGTTCCGTGCATTTTGCCACAGTCCATGGTTTTGATCCATGTCGTGGCAGGTAATTTGCACCGACTGAAAATGTTTCCGCACAATGGGATGCCACTTTTCATTGTCAAGTTACTTCCAAAAGAACCCCATCCTACTCTTGCCTACCTCTCTAGTTTATCGTGGTGTTACCAATGATTGTTTCCTGGTCCACGAGCACATACGCTGCTGTGTTATACAGCCGTGTCTCTCCGACAATGATTCTCTTTTCTTCAGCGTGACTTTTCTTTCACCTCGCATTTATATTGAGCCTCACTTTACAGCCCTCTTGAAGTCCTTCAATCATTATCCGTCATCCATTACCATCAGCTATTATGATAATGACATTGTTCAATCTGACATGGTTAATACTTTCACCACTGATGCCTTTATTTCTCCAATCAAACTCTCAGTAAATAACTCCCAGTGTCAATACAAATATCCATAGTAATGGCATATACCTATGGGCCTTGAATTCTTCACCTCAATTCTGTCTCCCCTCTTGAACAGAAGAGCGATTGAGCCAGAAACACTCCAATTACAACTACAATTACCAAAGATGGTGCTGCTTCTCTGAACCCGCTGTAGGCTGATAACTGTCACGTGGCTTTGTGCCCATAGCCCAAGCAGAGGCAGCAAAACTGAGTGACGGAGCAAAATAAGAAACCTCCATCTAGTCAATGTTTCACTGATGAGATCAAAGGGCACCCGGCGAACAATTTACCAGCATGTATTTTTAGGATGTCATTATTGGGTTTTTTGTAAGTATTTGTATTCAGCATAGTATCACAATGTGTGTGCGTCATTTTATCTGCTGCTGTTGTTGTTTTATGTCAACTTCCACCGGATGACTGCCAAAATAAATAGTTTAAACACAGCGGGGGGAGGGGGAGGTGTTCAATCTTTTCATATTTGTTGTTGTTGTTGCTGTCGCTTTGAAAGCAATTGTAGCCTACTTATCGCTATGCACAGGAAATAGTATATTCATCTGAGAAACTCCGTTTCCATGAAGACTACAAAGACCCGTGATTAATTGCTTTGAAACTTACCAGACCGCTTACGAATATCAGTGCCCTGATCTTTATAATGTTTGCGCAAATAGTCGACAAAATACTTTTTGCAAAGTCTTTTTTTTCTTCCAATTACTGGCTGTACTAGGTCAATTAGCGCATGTGCGTAAGAACAAAGTTAAACATAGCAACTTTCATGCTATAGTGTGGCTTACGTCAACGTTTTACAAATAAGAATAGGTTTTACCCTTTCTGGCAATAAAACAGGGGGTGTTTAGATGTTCAAACACACATCCATTTAATACAGGAAGAAGTAACACTTCGTAAATAGTTTCGTTGCAACATGCAACGTTTTCCAAACCTGGTTTGAAATGCGTGCCCATTGTATGAAGTACACCGATTGGCAGAACGGAGTCACGTGGTCACCAGAAATACTCAATCCAGCATTGGTGATTTTTTTATGGTTGTGTCAGCATGAGAATATTTAGTGAGATTAGATTAACTTAGTTTTATACAAGCAAATTGTACCAACCCATCTTAGTCCAAATATTGTCTTGCATTCACCTTATTGCTACTAAATTGCGAAGTTATTTTGTAATAGGCTGACCAGGTGCCTTTACTCGCCACAACTAAATTGAGGCTCCTTCCATCGACTGGCTTGTCAGCTGCTATTGTTTGATAGAGACGTATTATTTACTTCTTTTCTTCTTACTAAACCACACTGGCTGTTTCGCAGCTGGTGATTTTGACGATGACCAAGCTTGTCATCGATCGCCTAAGAAAATGGGCTTGATGGACGGATGACATTCCATCAGCATTCTTTTTTCTGCTTCAATTCATAAATTCCACAAACCCCCAACCGCATTCACCTTCTGATAAAATGCAATCACCACGGACTGTGTGCAAGCCAGCTTTCCAATGTGATTTCAGCAGTGGACCAAAAGCCTGCACCCTCTTCCACACCTTTGGACACTTTGCCTGATTAAACATTCACTCGGCTCAATAAAACCAGCAACAAACAATCTTACACACTGCCAATCATTCTTAACATCACAGCAATAGCAATTACTCCCGTGTTGTGCACACCGTGCAAAGTTGACCGCGATTAATAAACAAAACAAAAACGTTCCCACTCTTAGAGGGTGTGGCAAGTCGATCGATCAATTTACTTAGACGTAAACGAGAGCAGGTCGGAGTGCTCTTGAAAATGTTGAACTTCATAATTAAAAGCAGCAAACCACCAATATGCTTGGAGAGGAAAGTGTTTTTTTTAAATCAGTATACAACATATATTGCCTGCTATGATCTATGTATCGGTAACGTGGACAATGACAAAGAAAATCGAAGAAAAGATAAAGTGCGCAAAGAAGCATGGAGAGGTGGTGCATGCTTGTACTTACGCTGATATACAGGAAGCGGGTCACATGGATTGGAGAACATACACAAGTTAGAGACGTCATAAAGACTGTGAGGAAATGACGTGAACTTGGGCAAGACATGTCGCTCTAGGAAATAATGGCTGGTGGTCGAGACTAATGTTGGAATGGCAGCCAAAAGAGGGAATGCAACCGACAGGGCATCGACTCTGAGAGCTCGAGTAACAACATCAGCTCCCGTGCAGAAGAGACATGGGATTGTTGCATCAAGTGACCATGACAGACAGTGATGGTTTCCGGCGTCCTCCTTCAAAACACTTCTGGTGATGCATAGCTTATTTTAAAGTGTTATGCATCACCAGCCACGATTTGCCAAAGTTCAAATCAAACTGCAACTTCTCTACTCATCTTCGGAGGGAAGTTGAATATTCGCAAGTGTTGCAAGATGCATAATTTCCATCGTAACATAATCTATCCGTGTGTGTGATGACAAATGGGCTCGATTTAAGCATTAATTTTCTAATACCACCACACTCTGCTCAACCGAGAGCACCATCTTCTTCTGCTGCTTCTCCAACAATCTCATTCTGCAGTGCTCACCTCTCAGTCCTAAGCATTGCACAGGTTTTGAGCCAGCTTAATCCATCACTGCTTTACAAATGTCTCCTTGTAGAATATGTGAACTACACTGCCCTGTTACTTGCCCTGCTGATATTAAGCCACATTCACATCTTGATTAAATGGCTCAAATATATCGCCTCGGGCATTTTCCCTCATTGCTTAGTGATGAAGACACTGGGAAGCCCTCTGATCGGACAGCTATAACGGTACAGCACAACCGCAGACACCTACACCATCGCACATTGTAAAGTGTGGGTTTTTTCCCACGAATGATCATTTCAAAATGAACATTCAAAACATTTGAATAGAAATCTATCCAGATAACTATGCAATTTTCCCCCACAGCTTGTAAGAAGCATGTGCTTTTACACGCTGCATGGTCAGATTCTAAATCGCATCATTTTCATCCCTGTGGCTTAAAATACAAGCATAAAATGTGCATTTGTCTGCACAATTGTAGGTACAGCGTGTACTGCATTGTGTGAAGTATCACCTGGAATCATAGTGGATGAGAAGTAGGTCACATAGTCCATAACACAACAGTGTCAAATTACTTTCTTTTTTGTCACAATTCAATGTGCAGGTCACCATTGTGCTTGGAATATGGGAGCTTTCATCGCACTGTGTTAAATGCTACATCTTGGTTTGTCTATTCACGTCCAACATGTGTATGCCTGCTTGGACTACCAAAATGTGAGCATTCATTCCCTCTACGAACAGCCATTCCCCGTGCGAGCAATCGATCGCTGGACATTACTCCCATGTGTGTTACATCCCCATACGAATATTAAAATCGTTGCATGTTCGTTTGTTGTCATACGTGTGGAGTCTTCCTTCGCACACAGCTTGTGCCCCTCTGACATTTCCCTGTGCCCTTCACGGCTCTGGACATTGGGCGGCTGCCGTGATCACCCAGCCACGAAGTGTGTGCGCTGCCGATCTGTGTCTAACATTCCACGAAGTGTGTGCGCTGCCGAGTCTGTGTCTAACATTCCACGATTGAGGGATCGTGTCTGTGTCTAACATTCCCTGCTTGAGGGATCGTGGCCGCTGTCTCTCTGTGCGTGCCTCTAAGACCGTCGATATTACTCTGTGTATTTCTGTGTTTTTGCCTCCGTCTCAGTTACCGGTCTCTCTGCCTTTCTTCTGTTTCTCTGTGTCTGTCTCTGTGTAGCTATGTCTCTATGAATGTCACCCTCTCTGAGATTCAGTTTCTACGTTGACTCGTATCGGTGTCTCTGCACCTGTTTTTGGTTTCCCTGCAATCTACCGCTTGTGTGTAGAACTTCTCTTGCACAGTACGTAGCCGACCGTGCTAATCGGAGGTGCTTGCATGATACCAGTGCCAATGGTACACCGTGCCGCGCCACGGATCAGCATGGTTGGCTCCGTACGGTGCGAGAGAAGTTCAGCGTATGTACGTGCGGTGCCCCTGACGGCATTGTGGCCTCAGCAGCTAATTTGATTGTCCACCGGCTCTCGTTGGCCGTGTGTTGTGTGTGCGCATTCAGCTTTGATTCCCTCTCAGTCCCCCGTCACCTGTGCTTGGGCTCCTGGAGGCCCCATCTCTCCTCGCTCTGCTCACAGCGCGATTCATCATCGTGACCCCACGCACGGGACGGAGGTCAAACTGTGAACACAAACAGGTGAGGGTGGCACAACGATCACACAATGTGCACACATTGTTTGTCAATTCAACCGCTTGATGAGGTTCTTTCCCCGCTTCTCGTGGGTCGTGGGGATTATTTGGACATACTTCACCACGCTGGTCAGCGAATTGTTGGACTGTACATTACACATATGCTCCCATTCAATAAACGATCACACATCACACGACGTGTGTGTAATAATCGTACAACATAAAATAATCATACAACGTTCATGCGAAGATCATACAACAGCCACAATTGTACTACAATCACATAAAACACACACACAGCGACTAATGTACAAAACATACAACGCTTACCCTATTATCGCAACCTACTGCACGTGACACCCATACAACACACCACTATCAGACACATACAACATATCTCAATGCTGGTAGCAGCACAATCACACGATCACAATCGCGGCCGTCTGGAACGCTCTTCCTTCCGATGTTAGGAAGCCACTGGAGCTTGGCACTTTTAACTCAAACTAATGTCTTTAGAACTACTCTGTGTGTTTAGTGTGTCCCTCTCCCGCACCTCCGACGAACACGTTTGGCGACGTACGGTGCGCAATAATGTCAACACACATACTACATGCAAACATGCGTCCGACATGCAATCATAACGTCACACATGACACACGATACAACTCGCAATCAAGGGCACACGAATACCATTCTCCTCTTCACCTGTGCCGTGGTGTTGCATGCTCTGACAATCGCAAGATCATTAATCACGTCACATAGCTCACACTATCGTACGCGCAATATGAATGCACGGCGTTCATCTGACATAGACGTTACTCTTACACCTACTGCAGGAATCACACAATCAGCTCTTGTGCCAGGCTAGGTGCACATTGCATCCTCGCAAACACAATCACAGCAGACACAATCACATACACTTCGACGCGTTGTGACGGCAGGTGCTTTGAGCGGTACTCGAGAATACAGTGGACTATTTCCGGCGCTATGCCCGGCCGCCTTTGTCTCCCCAGTGCTCATGTTTTACACACAGCGCCAGGTACTCATTTGAGGCTGCGTAGACCTAAGGGAGGCACAGCTACGACCGGTTCAGACGTCACTCGCTGCTGTTAGCCGTGAACGGGAATGAAACTCGCCACGTACAACAAAAGATGCCATTCGCGGTGACGTCCACGTCGCCGCAGTGTTTGTGCCAGGCTAGGTGCACTTTCAATGGACGCACACTCACTCGTTTACACAAGCTAACACACACACTCCACACTAACACCCTCACACACAACACACACACACCACGCACACTTTACTTACACACACAAACAACAACAAGCGGCGGTGACGTCCCCACGGCGCTGGTGCCAGGCTAGGTGCACATTGACGTGCGCGCACTCAACGGGGTTGTTGGAGGCCGCCGCGAGGCGAGTGCGGGCCGCGGCGTCCTTCCCGTTGCCATGGGCACGGCACGCACGTGGCGCCGTGCCCATGGCAACACATTTACATGGTGCACCCAAATACAACCACGCGAACACATTTACATGGTGCACCCAATTACAACCACGCGCACACGTTTACATGGTGCACCCAAATACAACCACGCGCACACGTTTACATGGTGCACCCAAATACAAACCACGCGCACACATTTACATGGTGCACCCAAATACAACCACGCGCACACGTTTACATGGTGCACCCAAATACAACCACGCGCACACGTTTACATGGTGCACCCAAATACAAACCACGCGCACACATTTACATGGTGCACCCAAATACAACCACGCGCACACATTTACATGGTGCACCCAAATACAAACCACGCGCACACGTTTACATGGTGCACCCAAATACAACCACGCGCACACATTTACATGGTGCACCCAAATACAACCACGCGCACACATTTACATGGTGCACCCAAATACAACCACGCGCACACATTTACATGGTGCACCCAAATACAACCACGCGCACACATTTACATGGTGCACCCAAATACAACCACGCGCACACATTTACATGGTGCACCCAAATACAACCACGCGCACACATTTACATGGTGCACCCAAATACAAACCACGCGCACACATTTACATGGTGCACCCAAATACAAACCACGCGCACACATTTACATGGTGCACCCAATACAACCACACGCACACATTTACATGGTGCACCCAATTACAAGCCACGCGCACACATTTACATGGTGCACCCAAATACAAACCACGCGCACACATTTACATGGTGCACCCAAATACAAACCACACGCACACATTTAATGGTGCACCCAAATACAAACCACGCGCACACATTTACATGGTGCACCCAAATACAACCACGCGCACACATTTACATGGTGCACCCAAATACAACCACGCGCACACATTTACATGGTGCACCCAAATACAAACCACGCGCACACATTTACATGGTGCACCCAAATACAAACCACGCGCACACATTTACATGGTGCACCCAAATACAAACCACGCGCACACATTTACATGGTGCACCCAAATACAAACCACGCGCACACATTTACATGGTGCACCCAAATACAACCACGCGCACACATTTACATGGTGCACCCAAATACAAACCACGCGCACACGTTTACATGGTGCACCCAAATACAACCACGCGCACACATTTACATGGTGCACCCAAATACAACCACGCGCACACGTTTACATGGTGCACCCAAATACAACCACGCGCACACATTTACATGGTGCACCCAAATACAACCACGCGCACACATTTACATGGTGCACCCAAATACAACCACGCGCACACATTTACATGGTGCACCCAAATACAACCACGCGCACACATTTACATGGTGCACCCAAATACAAACCACGCGCACACATTTACATGGTGCACCCAAATACAACCACACGCACACATTTACATGGTGCACCCAAATACAAACCATGCGCACACATTTACATGGTGTACCCAATTACAAGCCACGCGCACACATTTACATGGTGCACCCAAATACAAACCACGCGCACACATTTACATGGTGCACCCAAATACAAACCACACGCACACATTTACATGGTGCACCCAATTGCAAACCACACGCACACATTTACATGGTGCACCCAATTACAAACCACGCGCACACATTTACATGGTGCACCCAATTACAAACCACGCGCACACATTTACATGGTGCACCCAAATACAAACCACGCGCACACATTTACATGGTGCACCCAATTGCAAACCACGCGCACACATTTACATGGTGCACCCAATTACAAACCACGCGCACACATTTACATGGTGCACCCAAATACAAACCACGCGCACACATTTACATGGTGCACCCAAATACAACCACGCGCACATATTTACAAGGTGTACCCAATTACATGTCACGTGTATTCAAATTTGCAATATGTGCCCAATCAGAAGAAGTCACGTACACAAACGCAAGGTGTACTTCAATAACAGACAAGTGTCAACATTTACAAGGTTTGTTCAACGATTAACAACGTTCACACGTTTACAAGGGTTGCCCAAATTCAAGTAACGTGTACGCACGAATACAGTCAGATTTGTAGATCTGGTGAAGTGTCATCAAAACAACCACAATGGCCAATACGGCATAAGGTGCGGCGGGGGGGGATAGACGAACCACTGGAATTGTCACGTGGCCGCGGCCCTGTTCTTCATGTCTGAGACAACAACACAAGTGATGGAGCCCTCTCCCTCTGTTTTGAGTGAATATATCCTCTTCATTTTCTTGTGCCTTCTGGACACAGCCCTGGACACCTCCTTGTTGTGTTTTTTTATCATACCAGGTAAGGCCCACTGAGCTGTGTAGCTCGTTTTCAGAAGCGACCTGGCCACAAATGACAGCTCAACGAAGTGGCTTGTCACGTGGACATTTGAAGCAGCCAAATAGACTCTAAACGCGTGATGTCGATTCTAAATGTGGAGGGGAAAAACCAGACGACCTGGGGGAAAATCCACGCGACCATGGGGAGGGGACAAGCAAACTTCAAATATACAGCAGGCGTCAGGGTTGGAATCGAACCCACGACCCTCCTGCATACCAGGCGAGGTAGTTAACATCTCCTAGCCACCGTGGCACACCGATGTCTAATACAACGTATGCCATGTTGAATGGGTGCATGAGTATAGCACGCAATATATTTAGATGAGTAAAATGCTCATCTACTTGCGGGAAGAAATACATAAAATGCAAAAATATTCATTTAAATTGAATGAATTGTGCGTCATGTTACTTCTCTTGCACAGCTGCCAGGCTTCGAATAAGGAAATCCCAATATCCCATGGCCATCCTGGCAATATAGCTTCACATCTTCTTCAATCTTCGACTTAAATTTCATCGGGATGTTATTACCTGAACATGCTAATGTGATTTATTATGACGAGAACATGCGTTTTAGCTCGCCGCACGACTAAATCAAAATTACCATACTTAAAAAAAACACATTTGAGAACATTCAGTTCACGTGGGCTCTTAAAATGTAAAGCACTGATATCTAAAAAGCCACAATAACAGCAATTACCATGCTATTTCAGCTCTCAAATTCTACTGTATTGAAAACATTAACACTGACACTCAATGGGCTGGAGCAGTTCAAAAAAGCGATATGTTTACATTTCTGCAATAAAAACTAGCGAGAGAACGCGAGAAATTAACGTCACGTTTTGATATATTGCCCCGTACCATGCATTCCCCAGAGAGGGTGGCACTGCAACATGTGGGCTCCATCTGTATGGGATAGAGCGTTGCTCCCTCTCACATGTGGATTTTCTCGGGGTGCTCCGGTTTCCACCCGCGTGTACACACGCTCAGTAATTGCCCTTTAACACCTTAATATAGAGATAGGATCACAGAGCTTGGGGGTGAATTTGGCACCGGTTCGCCGCGACGCTGCCCGCCTTTCCCGCTCGTCCGTGGTTCCCTCGCTCCTCCAAGTCGTTCTCTCTCTCTCTTTATTCCAGAGGGGGTTAATATTGTGCGGAGCGTTCCAAGTTCAAATTATTATCCTCGCATACCCTCCGAGGGAACCTTCCTGACCTAATTTTGGCCAAAAGGGAGCCACTTGCTTGGGTTTTATAACGCGCGCGGCATATTGCTCATTTTCTGTTCAAAATGAAGAGGGGGGGGGGGGAGACATTTCCACTCTGCAGACGCCACGGCGAGCACGCTCCCCAGAGGGATGTACAGCGTTGATTGTTTTGAGGGGAGGGGCAGTGGTGTCCCCCCCCCGCCCCGCCCCCCAAGTGACCCCCAGCTCACTCCGAGACAGCCACCCTGCCCGCCCTCAGCACGCATCCACCGCGAAGGGCTGCGGTCGTTACCTTCGCCTGCCGCAGAGGCGATCGAGCGACGCTTCCGCCGAATAGGGACGCGCGAAAGGGGTAACGGCGCACACCCAGAACGCGCGCCACTGTTACGCAGGGACCACGAGGGGCCACGAGGGACTCCAAGGCGACACGCTCTCGGCGTGGCTCGAGATGCGGGCGACGTGGCGTGACGATGCCTCGGCCGCCGTCTCCGGAGTAGAAAGTCGTCGTCGTCGTCGGCGGAGTGGCAGTGGGGTGGTGGTGCCCCAGACCGGACAGTCCCCAACGCCGTGCCGGTGATGATGTTGGCAAGCCCGCATCGAATCTCGACTCAATTTTTTGTCCTCGTGGTATTTACTTTTAAGGGCGGTTATATAGGGTACACTAATGAAGGAGTATTACGAATGGGCGTACTTTGCACTCTGCCTTACACCGATAACCCCGACCCTAAGCCAGCCTAGCAGCATTCTGGAAAATATCGAGTGACAATTTCCGCCCGGATACGAATGCACTCGATAAACTCTGCTGGGATTCTTCTTCAACAGCGCCGCTCGTTGCTGGGCCCTTGGCGTTCGAGACCTCTGGAGGAGAACGGACGGCGTGGTTCTGTTTGTTGCTGGGCCCTTGGCGTTCGAGACCTCTGGAGGAGAACGGACGGCGTGGTTCTGTTTGTTGCTGGGCCCTTGGCGTTCGAGACCTCTGGAGGAGAACGGACGGCGTGGTTCTGTTTGTTGCTGGGCCCTTGGCGTTCGAGACCTCTGGAGGAGAACGGACGGCGTGGTTCTGTTTGTTGCTGGGCCCTTGGCGTTCGAGACCTCTGGAGGAGAACGGACGGCGTGGTTCTGTTTGTTGCTGGGCCCTTGGCGTTCGAGACCTCTGGAGGAGAACGGACGGCGTGGTTCTGTTTGTTGCTGGGCCCTTGGCGTTCGAGACCTCTGGAGGAGAACGGACGGCGTGGTTCTGTTTGTTGCTGGGCCCTTGGCGTTCGAGACCTCTGGAGGAGAACGGACGGCGTGGTTCTGTTTGTTGCTGGGCCCTTGGCGTTCGAGACCTCTGGAGGAGAACGGACGGCGTGGTTCTGTTTGTTGCTGGGCCCTTGGCGTTCGAGACCTC